CAACATGTGGCGGGGCATTATCTTGTTGGAAAGTTGGATCTGCCAGGGTGTCAAGATAGGGTAAAAGATGGGGTTCTAGAACTTCGTGGATATAACGCTGCGCGTTCATGTTACCTCTGATGAAGATTAAAGGTGACCTGGAACCATAAGCTATAGCACCCAAAACCATAACTCCATGATGAACATGTCTTTCAACAAAAAACTGTGGATTCCTCCTTTCACCACGTCGCCTTCTAACCCTGGCACGACCATCGTGCATGCCTAAACAAAATCGAGACTCGTCACTAAAGACAATACTGTTCCATTCCTGATCCCAGAGTGACCGTTGTCTGCACCACTCAAGGCGATTACGTCGGTGTTCTCGAGTTAAAGGGAGGACCCAGTGTGGCTGGTATGAAAACAAGCCAAAACTTCTCATTCGTCGGTAAACACTTCGCATGCCAATAGGTCTTCCGTGTTCTGCAAACCATTCATTTGCAATGGATCTGGTAGTGGAGAAAGGGTCCCTTAAGGCCAATAATCTTAGGCAGCGATCTTCACGGTCTGTTGTTCTACGGCGGCGTCCAGTGCCCCTTGCTCTTTGCGTACGGCCTTCTCGAAGCTATGTTGTAAGGCTGAAAATTTTTTTCACTTGTTATTTACAGTAAGATAAATGCATTCACCAACTTTTATTAAAATAAAGCCATTTAAACTGGGTGTTCGGATTTATATGTCACTTAGTATATGTGTGACAAACGGAGGACTTTTGCATAACAGTTCAAAATTTCAATATGGATAACATTTTTGGAATGAGTGATCCTATACCTCATTTTGAAACTCTTTATGGGTACTTTATGACTCTGCAATATAAAACCAGTATTTTTTCGAGAGAAGGCAGACAGGCAGGCTGTCATACTTGAGCGTTTTTGTGCATTGAGCCTCTTATAGCTCAACAACTAGTTATCAACACAAAATGAAAGGTTTTTAGAAATTTTTGAACGGAAATGATCCAAATCCTGCTCCATGCTCGGATAGACCCTTCGAAGAAGAGAAGATTGACATATCATATTGTAGCGCTTTTATGATTGAGTTACAAACAACTCATTGTACAGAAACGCTCAACTGTCATCTTATCAATGAAGTGAGGGGGGACTTTTTGAAACTCACTAAGTTGACGAAATCGTACAGGACTCCGTACTCTAGGCATCGTAACCGATCGTAAAGGATGTCAAGAACCAAAATCCGCCAACGTTGATTCTTTACTGCGGCTGAAATATTCATTTTTAGAGCGTTAGTGAATTAAAAAAAAGCAGTATAAAAACCGGAATGTCCAACTGATAATGCTGAAAATTTTTTCACTTGTTATTTACAGTAAGATAAATACATTCACCAACTTTTATTAAAATAAAACCATTTATACTGGGTGTTCGGATTTATATGTCACTTAGTATATCACCAACGGTTAGTTATAAATATTAATTATCTTGATAAAAAGATGCTTACTGTATGAGGTTACAGTTGAAACAATTTAAGCAGAACACTACTTTCTTATTACTAAAGTTAGTAACGGTTGTTTTTTCTCGAGGTATAGAACTTTGAGTTGGCATTACTTTTGAAGATCGCGACCGATTTGACAGCCTGTCAAGTGATTTATTCTCAGTTTGGTTTGGCAATTCATCATGAATAGACTCACGCCTGAACAACGCTTGCAAATTGTGCAGTTCTATTTTGAAAATAATGTTTCTGTGCGGAATACGTATCGCGCACTAAGTCCATTTTATCTTCGACACAATCGTCCATCAGAGCAGTTGACTCAATTAAGCATGGAACGGTTTCGAACCACGTTTACTCTAATTGATAACTCGCATCCCCAGAGACGCCGTACGGTGCGTACAGAAGAAGCTATTGCTACTGTAGAGCGTAGCATCGAGGAAGACCCACATGCCATCCGCCATCGAGCACAGGAATTGGATCTGTGCCCATCCACTTTATGTAAGATTTTGCGGAAGGATCTTGGTTTGCGTGCTTACAAAATCCAACTCGTGCAAGAATTGAAGCCAAACGATCATCAAGCAAGGCGAAGATTCGTTGAATGGGCCCAAAACGAGATTGCCATTGTTCCCGATTTTTATAAGCGAATTTTGTTTAGCGATGAAGCGCACTTCTGGTTGAATGGCTACGTCAACAAACGAAACTGCCGCATTTGGAGTGAAGCTAATCCTCAAGTCTATGTCGAAACACCGTTACATCCAGAAAAACTGACTGTTTGGTGCACTCTACGGGCTGGTGGAATCATTGGTCCGTACTTCTTCAAAAACGATGATGTCCAGAACGTTACAGTCAATGGTGATCCGTATAGAGCCATGATTACTAACTTTTTCATTCCTGAATTGAACAATCATGATGTCCAGGAACTGTGGTTCCAACAAGACGGCGCAACATGTGACACAGTTCGTGCTACAATCGATTTATTGAAAGACACGTTTGGTGACCGCCTAATTTCACGTTTTGGACCTGTGAATTGGCCTCCAAGATCTTGTGATTCAACACCGCTAGACTATTTTCTGTGGGGCTATGTAAAGTCATTGGTCTATGCGGGTAAGCCACAAACGCTTGACCATTTTGAAGACAACATTCGCCATGTTATTGCCGATATACGGCCACAAATGTTGGAAAAAGTCATCGAAAATTGGACGTCCAGATTGGACTACATCCGAGCCAGCCGTGGCAGTCATATGCCAGAAATCATATTTAAAATGTAATGCCACAAGATTATCTTTCGAATGAAAAAAATGCATGTCAATCGAATAATACATCGTTGTTTTATTGCAATTTAAAGTTCTATAATTCTAAAAAAACATCCTTTTTATAGTGTAACAGTTTGTAACCAAACGCAACTTTGCAAGCAATACTGGATGACAGCAGATGGAATGTTTTTTGAAAGGTGTTTGTTCAAGATATTCAAATTACTGTATATAAACAATGGGTTCATGGGAAGGAGCGAGCCACAGGCGACTTAATTCTAATTTTTTGTACTGTTTGTCTACTAACACTCCTCTATTTTAGATATTTCAAAAGCATACACATGTGACAGGTGTTCGAAAATATACTGGCATCAAGCATCTTTCTATAACCACAAGAAATACACGTGCGGACAATCACCAGCAATATTTTGTCCTGGGTGCAAGTTTTCCACCAAATACTTTCAAAATATGCAGACACATCTAAAGAACATTCATGGTAAAACAGTGAGTCGTCGTGAATTGAAAGAGTACATCGCAAGGTGTCACAGCCTCAAGGGAAGTAAATGAGCACTGCTTACTCCATGAGTTTATATAAGCTCTGCGAGAGTTAGGTGCATATCAAAAGAGAGTATTCACAAACAAAATAAATTGCAATGATAATTTATTTAATCTGTAGACTCATTCAGTATCTCTGTTTTTTTTTTATACTGAGTAATATACATATATTATAAAAGATGGTTGGATATATTTATATTAGCAGAGGGTACTATAGTTCTTGTAGTGTTATTTCGAAAATAATTTTTTACGGGCGAAATCTTGCTAAAAATTTTTTGGCAATGTTACCAATGCTACCAATGTTATATCCGTGTTAAATGATAAGAAATTCACAAACTTGAAAATCTACTCTATATCAAAACTTTCTTGCGTTTTTTTTTAAATCTAAAAAGATCAAAAATCGCCAAAAATCGGAAAAGGATATCATAAGTTTGTTAACTTATAAACCTAAGGTATACATATATGTATTTTTGTGCATTCTTTGAATTAAATATATTTTTTCCATGGACAAAAATGCATATATTTGTTGGATTTTTATGTTAGCCATAATATTATATCCTACATTTAAAATTCCAAAAATTGGAAAAAATCGGCGGAAATGCGGGTTTTTAATCTTTGGCGATTTTCCGGACGAGAAATCATTATTTTAACGACTGAAAAGAACGTAAGAAATATGCAATGGGTTACTGTGTTGCCTTCCCTGACCAAACACGTCAAGAATTCAAGAAAATCAGGGAAAATGCGGCTTTTCCTATTTTTGCAGTTCAAACTTTTGACCATGGATAGACAAAACTACATGTGCTTGTCGAGATTTTAAGTTAGACACCTTGGTTTAGAAAAGTTCGTCTCATACTTACAGAAACGAAAGTTTTCCCCATTGCTGTATGGCTCTTACCATTGACTAAGGATATAGACACCACACAATAGAATGTACTCAGGAGATTGATCTTTCGATATTACAAGTATATGTTTATTATTTTCAACGTTATCGGAGCTTGTTATGTCTGTTATTATCAATTATCTATTGCCGTTTTGTATATCTGTCTCTTGCACTATATAAAATATTAGTTTTCATCTTTTGATTGAAGCATAACTCGCCTGGTTCCAAGAATTCTTGGTCGTATACTCCCTCGTTCATGAGATTTGACCCCTAGACCGGTCCGTGGGCTTCTTTCTGCTTAGATTAGATGATATTGACCTGGATAGCGAGTTGTTTCAGTATATGCCCACATGCCATGCCTCTGAAATAATGCATCTGCTGATACATTGCCTTGTCATGGTCAGCGATCATGTGATTTAACGCCATAAGAGTTTTTATGAGTTTATTTGAAGTCAAAGGTCTATGCTAATAAGTCCACAGATACCCGTGTATTGAAAGGGGAAATTCAACGCCGTTTCAACGAAATCACAATCCTGTGTACTTTATAATTTTATGAAAAATAATGTAAAGAAAAAACTTTGTTTAGGTTGCGAATTATATCTTTTGTGCATTCAATTATAGGTTTGGAACTGACAGTGCCCTAAACTGATTTTCAATAACAAAGCTTGCTTATCATGACACTCATAGCATCCTACTAATGCAGTAGACTAGTAACAGTAGTATCAACGCATGACTCTCGAACACAGCTTCGTATGTAGCAACCGTAGGTCACGATGGTATAGCATCACATTTTAGGCAACATAATCAAATGGGAGCAATTCGATTCGAACATCCTGGTTCCGATGGTTCAGATGAACTCCAAATCCAGCCCTGATTTCAAGTCATCACACGCAGTAGGTTCTGGATTTATTTGCGGCGACTGCGGAAGAACCTACAAGCTGAAGAGCTCACTGAGGAACCACAGAAAGTGGGAGTGTGGGAAAGAACCTCAGTTCAAGTGCTCCCATTGCAGCTACAAGGCCAAACAGAAGATGCATATGCTCAGACATATGGAGCGGATGCATAAGGACGTCGAAATGCCGAATTACGGAGATAATTCTGGGATTCCAGAAGACCTTGAGAAGGAGTTGAGCAGCAGGGGTATCACTTATACCACTAGCAAAGCGATGCATGGAAGTGAGGTTGAGAATGTCTTGAAATCCAGTTCTAATGGTTCCGTAGCTGTTAAGGGTACAAGGAAGAGCGGTATTTAAGTCTTAGGTGTTTTAAAATGATCGTAAATATGTAAGTCTCCAGTGTTCCACTTACAGTATCTTCAAATAATCACGAATGCACAGTTGTACTCTTAAATGTTTCATAAATTTTGGATGAAAGACTTTGGCGATAGCTTTTAAGATATCCAGACTACGCAACAAGCCCACGATGGAGATCTAATGGAAGACTGACAAGTTTCAGTTCTTCTTGGACATATTGATAACAGTTATGCAACATTACTTATGTAACTCGTGAAATTTATCCTAAAATTTTCATGAAACCACATATATTTTTTATTTTGTCCTTATTGTACGACATTTCTACCTGCACGTTGGCCATTTACACGTCGCCATCGTATATACAATAAAAAGAAATTGAAACATATATGTGGGTATTCGGTCAGACAATCGAGTCCTAAAACATTCCTAGTGGCATATTTTTACAAACCAGTTATTGCATAAGACCAATACTCTTTTTAGCATTACAGACGACTAGGATGCAGAAACCAAATTAGTTCCATTTCAATGATAATTCTACCTCAGTCTATTGACATTTGGAACTCAAATTAACGATATCTGAAAATAATCATGCAGCAGCAAGAATAACATTATGTTAAATCCTTTGTTTTGACATAAATAGTTACTTTCTATTCGCTGTTTTGTATGGACGCTTGGTAAATTCGCCGCTTCAGTATTAGCATATATGAATTCAGTAAGATCAAATGCAAGCTTCATGCCTTATGCGTGATAGTTCGTGAAATACTCAAAAATAAAGTATGTTTTATTTTTATTCACAAAATGATTAAAGTCTAAACATAAGTATTTTAGGAGTACTCGTATGTCACATACGAATATATTTTGTTAAATTTTATATTTAGGCTATGACTAAAATTACCAGTGACACCGTTGAGTCGTTATATTATGAATTGTGAAATCTATTTGACAAGTTACTATATACTAGTGAGTGAGTTCACGGATTTTAAGGTCGAATGTAAGATTAATATGTGATATGTTCACTTGTTACTTTCCACACTTTTCCAAGATTACTAAACTCAGTGCCTTACAAGCTCGGTTCCTATAGTTGTATATGCTGCTAATGTGTTATTTTATTTCATAAGTGCCTAATTGTTGTGAAAATCTATGTTCATGTTTTAAGAACGGTAATATTCAGTATAGATTTTTGCATGCTTTTTGAATTAGCACCATCCACTAAAGTGGGTGATAGAATGAAAGACACATAAATTTTTCAACATCCTTGAACACACACTGTTTCTTTGTAAGTTGTCACTGATTACAGTCTTATTCACATTGACTTTGGAATGTAAATTTTATTTTATTAGTAAATCAAGTTAATATTGACAACGCTAGACCCGTTGCGCGCAAATTATGTTTCATTATTTACTTTTATTGCCATTAGGTAACTGTACTTTTATATTATGCCATGTTCTTTCGACATCATACTTTTTTATTTCTCATTTGAGAATTATATTATTTTATCTTGTAGTCTGTAAGTGCTGTTACATGTATACTCAACCACGCTTATATACTTTTTAAGTTTGTATTCATTCCTTCATTTATATCGTTAATTGCTTTTTTATACGACTTTTTACCAATTTTTTTACAATCAATAAATTTGATTTTGTATATAACTGTGTACCTCTTATTAGTGCTTGCACGTACGGTTTCAAAAGGGGAAGGTTCTACAAACAAAAGATAATTATTTCATGATTTTTCAAGTGCAAGTAAACGAAGAGTTTTCTCCATAATCTTTAAGAGGAAGGGCTATAGGTAAACAGGTATACCTAGGTCCAGTAGAGATTCACTATATGACTTGATTTTCAAGCTACTTTACTTGAAATCAAGTCAAGTATTAGATATTAGCAATGTGATATCAAGTCAAGTAGTTTTTACGTCTGCCTGTCAAGGACTTAGAAATTCAAGTAGTCTTGATATTCGTTGATCATTTTTGTAATATGAATACGAGTAGATTATAAATACACACCGGAAAGATATGTCAGAAGTTTCAGAGAAAACAATACATATTGAACAAAATAGTGTACTCATCGTATAACAAAGTAGAAACAAAATTCTTCATCAGCTGATACCAAAAAGTGAAAAAATCTAAATTATCCGTTCGTTCGCTAACCACGAATTAAGTCACATGAGGGTATTTATAATGGTGATAAAATTAAAAGAAACTGTGTTAAACTAACAACTGACCGGATTTTGAATCACACCCCTATATCATAATTATTTTTAAGTTGTGCTTGTTATACAACATGTATAATATCTCTAAGACGAATGGGCATTATATTTTGTTCTTGTAAAGAATATGTAAAATTAGTTGTTGAGAGATTCATTTTTGAAGAAAGTTAAATTTTATTTGCTTTTTTATTTATAAAAAAGCTATGTATCTGCCTTGTTTGCCCGCGATATACGAAAATATACTTTTCAAGTAGCTTACTTCTTGATAAATCTTTAGTATCCAGCTTAATCAAATATGCTTGGGCGTATCTATGGGTTCCATCTACTACTATTTGTTTTGATTTAAGGTCAAATTTACTCATGTGGCAGATGCAGAAGGCACTATACTAGGAAGAAAAGCTTGATGAGGCACTTGAAGTACGACTGCTCAGGAGAAAAATGTTTCCCATGCTACTACTGTCCCTATTCAGCATTTCGAAAGCAACATTTGCTTACGCATCTACTAAGAAAGCACCAAGTTGAAAACGGTCACTAAAATGTTTTTTGTTTCAGTATAAGTGAACTTGCTTATAGTTTTTATTCTTTATTATTCAGTTTTAGCTAACCGAAAAGGTGTTGATTGATGTCTGGAAAGTAAATTGATTATGGCTTAGACAAAATGTGAGATTATTTTGGTGCAGTAAACCTAGGCAAATGTTAAACTATACATTTTTCTATACTCCTGTTGATTAAAGTCGAACTGGAAGTAGTTTTCCTTAATGAGATTATCGCTAATCAAAGGAATCTTGATCGTTTCTCTTAAGATATGAGGTTGCAATTTCCAAGGCTAAAAACAACAGATCAGCATCTTTACGAAAAGAAAAATATTTCGTTTTTTCATTTCAGTTTTTCTAATACTTAGATACTGTTGTCAACACTTTTATCATATTTTCAGTTTTCTTTATTATACTATTTAATATCAATATTTGAGCAGGCAATTTCTTGATTCAGTTTGAGATGAAAACTTCAAATGAACGTATGTTATGTCTTAAACTTCTTAACTTTATCATCAGATACATGGTGGTAATGTTTTCAAAATTTAATCATTTACGATTAATATCTGTAATCCCATGTACTATGAATCAAGGGTTTTTTTTAAATGAACGGCACAGATTTCTCCTAAAATAAAAATTATTTTTAAAATCCTCAATCATTCTAACCAAATTCAAATGCTTGATTTTTTTCAATCCGATGCATGGTTTTCGCTTAAAAAATAAAACCCGCTTCTCCGTCTGATCATAACAGTATCGTTAATATGACAGTATCACCATGCAGAGAATTAGGTTTTATCTTTTTTTTAGGTGAAACCTGTGCGTCACACTGGAAAAACGTGAGAGATGAACTTAAATGAATACCTATTTTTTATTTTAAGAATGTCAGTGGCGTGCCACTCATTTATCTTACAAAACTTTACCATGTACCTCAAGAAAGACGCTTAAGGTATGCGCTCATATATGTTATATGAACTTTTCTTCATAAAATAGACTCAAAAATCGTCCCCTTAAATAATGAAAATCAGTTAGAAAACACTTTGTGTAGACGCCAGAAAAGTTTCATTTATACATAATAAAATCCTATATCTACCAAGTAATGTCTCTTCAATCTTATTTCCTTAATCCATTGCCATCAATGGCCTTAAGATAATTTTGCTGACGGAGTTATCCCTACTTCAACATCAAAGGCTCCTGATCCCTAGTTGAGTGATGAGGTGTTTGCATAAACAGCATTTAGTGGCTGACTCTGTTGACAATAGAAACTAGGATGGGCTGGAGGTAGTTGGGAAAAGGCTAAGTGTGATGTAAGAACTATATACTTTGTTATTAAACCTTATTCCCTTTCTTTCAACTATTACGTTGGTATGATATATATATATATATATATATATATTTAAAAAATGCAATAAAGGTATTCGTGTAGGTTATGTTTTGCAAAAATAACCTCGTTTTGTTGACAGAAGAAACTTTGATGCGCAGTTATCCTTCTCTTCGTAGTCCATTTACGCCCAAACAGATCACAACATGCTCAAAAGCGAGATTGTACAGGTCCGTATTTTCCTCAATGGTCTTAGAATAATCTAACAAAATAAGTGATTATTTTTGTAGAAAGAAGTGCACATACTTTTCACAATTCTTTATTCCCTGGAAGTTCTTGAATAATCGTTCGAATGGTTAATATTAATTATTACAGGTTCAATTTGAATATCTATCATATTGTCCAGATCCTACATCTTTGTTTCGATTGTCTCTTGAACATGACGGATTCGAGTGGTTTGCTGTCACTCTGTTGACAGCTTCATAAAACAAATTTTTTACGTCAGAAAATTTGAATGTTCGATTGTTTGAACCATATAGTTTTTTATATTTCCCCCTATCGTTTCAATGGGATTTAATTCACAGTGACAAGGAGGTAGCCTGAAAACGGTCTTATTTTGGTTTTTAGCCATTTCTTCAATAACGTTAAGTTTACATCTGTATTTGTGATGCCTGACTAGATGGATAGGTTCTGCTATGACCATATTTTCACTGAAACTAATGTCTTTTGATAGTAGCCATTGTTGGATTTCTTCCTTTCTTGTGGACATTGTGGAAATTTTGTCTAGTTTTCTAGTTTGGTATGCAGTATTTTCAAGTACAATGACAGCATTGCCGTCAAGCTTAGAGAGCGTTTCATCAAACCATCGTTCAGATGAACTCCGGTGGTAGTGGATCGCAGTGGGCATAAGGCCATCTTCACTGGCAATGTGACAGTTAAGAAAT